TTCAGAGAGATGAAGCACTACTTAAGGAAGCAGGATGATGTGGCCATGCTCTGCAACCATTCATACAACTTTTGGGCATGTTGGCCAACTTCAGCCCTGCTTAACAGAGGCTAGAGACAAAAAAGATTACACAGGTTTTGTGGAAGATGATGAGAAAAGAGATATTCTTAATTCTTCCCCATGTGAGGACAGGAGAGCAAAGTCACCACAAGGCACATTCAGTCAGGGGGGAAATTTTCTAAGTGGTGGGAAAGCTCTAGTAAAAGTTCACATCTTTCTAAAGTCAGCCAGACTGTTTAATAAAAATCTTTGGAAAGCCCAGGGGTTTTGGTTTTGCTGTTTTAGTTTTGCCCTTTTCTTTTGCAGGTAAATACCTTTCATGTTAGAAATGTACCAAAATTTTACACAAAGTGCTCAGATATCCATTCTAAAGAATAACTTTATATCATGACCATATATATGGTCAGAATATTACAGACAGAATATTACATAGCTAAAAGTCCTGATTAGGACCATCTGCCCAAAATCCAGAAAATCCTGTAATAAACCAAGCCACTTGAAATTTTCGGTCTTGCAGTTGGTAGAGATAATTTACTGCAGTCACTAGAAGAGATGTAAACCAACCAAATCTGTCCCTCATCCCAGTTAAATTCCAGTCACTTGACCAAAATAAATTGGGGCAATCCCAAGCACAACTGCAGGTTGGGAGGAGAATGGATTGAGAATAGTCCTGAGGAGAAGGACCTGGGATTCATCTTGAAAAGCTCAACACAAGCCAGCAATGTGTGCATGCAGCCCAGAAAGCCAACTCTGTCCTGGGCTGCATCAAAAGGGTGACCAGCAGGCCAAGGGAGATTATTCTGCCCTTCTATTCCACACTTAAGAGAAACCAACTGGAGTACTGCATCTGGTTCTGGAGCTCCCAACACAAAAAAAAAAAGCATAGACCTGCTGGAGTTAGTCCAGAGGAGGGCCACAAAGATGCTCAGAGGGCTGGAGCATCTCTCTTATGAAGACAGGCTGAGACAATTGGGTTTGGTAAGCCTAGAGAAGAGAAGGCTCTGAGAAGACCTCATAGCTGTCTTCCAGTACCTAAAGGGGCTACAGGAAAGCTGGAGATGGACAAGAATAGTCCAAGTGGAGATACTATGCAGTGTAAGACTTGTAGAAAGCCGGTTAAAGAGAAGAGGAAGGGGGAAAAAGCATCTGTGTGATGCTGCTGTCCTGGACTATGTTCTATCTACTATGAGTCCCTGCCAAAACAAATAAGAGACACCAGGCACAGGATGTTAGCCTTACTACCCTGTGCTCTGTGCTGGAGCTGGTATTTGTACCAAAATAATAAAACAAAAAGAGTCAGTTTGCTGACATGATAGTGTTCTACTTTTTAGCAGGTCAGCTCATGAACGTGCTCGTAAACAGCACAGCACATTTGAGTTGTATTTACTTCAAACCATATGCAAGCCAGGACACAGGTAGGACGCACACAGAGGACAGAACACATGGCAAAAGCTTCTGGCTGTGCACAGTTTCCTGCTCCCCTCCAGTATGCAAACTAAGATGAAGCCATTTTTGCCCAACTAATTACACTGAAGTTTATATATCCATGAGGCAAGAACAAAGGTCTTAATCTTGTATTTGCTACACACAAACTCCTAAACTGCTTTGTGCTGGCCAGTCCATAGGAGCTGGGCCACCCAGAATCATAGAATCATCAAGGTTGGAAAAGACCTTCAAGATCATCAAGTCCAACCATCCACCCTAATAGCCCCGTGACCGCTAAACCATCTTCCAAAACACCGTGTCCACCTGTTTTATTAACAGCTCCAGGGACAGTGCCTCTACCACCTCCCTTGGCAGCGTGTTCCAATGCCTCACCACTCTTCTGTGAAGAAACTTCTCTCAATATCCAATCTGGACCTTCCCTAGTGCAACTTGGCCCCATTTCCTTTTGTCGTATCACTAGTCACTAGGGAGAAGAGGCCAACACCACCTCACTACAACCTCCTTTCAGGTAGTTGTAGAGAGCAATGAGGTCTCCCCTCACCTTTCTCTTTCCCCCTTAACCCTCCAGCCCCAGTTCCCTCAGCCTCTCCTCATAGGATCTGTTCCCCAGACCCCTAATCAGCCTAGCTACCCTTCTCTGCACGCTCTCCAGCACCTTGATGTCCTCCCTATACTGCAGTGAACAAACCTGCACAGAGTGCTCGAGGTGCAGCCTCACCAAGGCCAAGTACAGGGACAGGGTCACCTACTTGGTCCTGCTGGTCATACTATTTCTCAAGCAGGCCATGATGCTGTTGGCCTTCCTGGCCACCTGGGCACACTGCTGGCTCATGTTCATCCAGCTGTCAACCAACACCCCCAGTTCCCTCTCTACTGGGCAGCTCCCCAGTCGCTCCTCCCCAAGCCTGTAGCACTGAAACACCCACCAGAGGCAAAGCATCAAAGTGGTACCACACTGCTGGTGTTGGCAGAGATGGATGGTGTCAGCACATCACTATGACAGCAGTTATGACCTGCTTGTTTATGCGCTGGTTCAGAGTAAAGGGATGTAGGAATGCTAGGAAGAGGACTTCCACCTCCCTCTGAGACCAAAACCTGCAACATGGAGTAAGCTGAAGCCTGCAGTTGCACTTAATACATTTCAGCAGAAGACTACAAATGCCTAAAACAGTGAATTTCTGCTAATGTGATTTATTTTGTAGGTGATCCCCACAGGGAATTAGCATGAGCACTGAGACAGCAGCTAGTCTCAATGTGCTCATCAGAGAATAAGCACAACAGTGGCAGAACTGTGCCCACGTACTGTAGCATATGAGGAAACAGACTTGTAGTTGCTTTGCCAGAAGGATATGTAATTCAGAGCTTTGATTTAAGCTAAGGAGATATGCATCTTGCACATTTCAATAGGTAATATTTATGAGAATTTTCATATGTGAGATTTAAGTAGGCAACAGCAGAGTCATTTGTAAGAAATAGCAGACTAGTCTCTAAGTAAGTGAGCAGAGCTGGAAGCTATTATACTCAAATCAGTTCAATGCTAAAATGAAACAAATTTGGGCTGTTTTGAATCACATCCCCTAATAGGTTCATCTAGTTCAGCAGCGTCCTGCCATAAGCTAGCTTTGAGCCAGCCCAGTTGATACACACAGCTCATAACTCTGCTGCTCCACTGGAACAGGTTGTCCAGACAAACTGTGCATGTCCCATCCCTAGAAGTGTTCAAGGTCAGGTTGGACAGGGCTTTGAGCAACCTGAGCTAGTGAAAGAAGTCCTTGCCCATGGTAGTGGCATTAGACTCACAGCGTTCTCATTCAGATATATTGTTAATGACTGTCTTTTAGACACCTGGGCCACTAATTCTCGAGCCAGGGAATAAAACTTAGCGACTGACCATTGTTACCTCTCAGTTGCTTTATAGAAACATACTGGGGCGACAACTCATGGAAACACCACTTAATGTAGAAAGAAACTGCTTCATGTGTTTGCCAATTTTGTGCATATTTTTTCTAATGGATAATATCAGTTTTCATTTCAGTTCAAATATCCATGCCTCAGAGAGACCAACATTTCAAAAAGCTACAGCTTAAACAGAAAACCACCAAGTTTCAGTGCTTAGCAACTAAAACCATTAACCTATTGGGAGGAAAATACTTCCTTTACCAGCATGGAATGCTTCTTTGCCCCAGGGCATTGCTATATACAAAAATGTAAAATATATGGATAATTATATGTTTGTTTGTATGTATGCAAGATCATTACAGTGCACTCCACCTCCATGGACAATAGATGCTTTGGTGAGTACATACTCAACACACCAGGGGTCTGCTGACCCTCAGGCTTTGAATAATTCATCAATTATACCAGTATGGTGTGGGATATTGACTTAGTTTCAATAACTTTTATTGACATTTTGGTGTTCATGACACTAGTTACATGATTCATTCTGCCCAGTCAGAAAGATGGAGACTGATTTGCCCACATCTGCCATGTCTCTCTTTCCATGCTGTATTTCTCCATGTCCTCCCTTCTGCTCCAACAGCTGGGGCAGGGGGAGCTGTGGGGAAGGAGACAGACCTTGATTCCAGTTATTTGTCTGAAAACCAAAAAAAAGTGGAAGCAAATCCTCTTCAACTATGCAGCTGACAGATCCTACAAAGAGAGTTTGCTGTGGCAAACATAAGGCAGCCCAATCACTCCAGTACCTCCTTACACTGCAACTTCATCACAGTTTTCACTCCCCTCTCTACAGCAAGATCAGGAAAGCAAGAGATTAGCCAGGGTAGAGACAGCTCACCAAAACATAGTCCCATTGACTGAAAGGATGAGGAGCATGACAACAATAGCATCATTTTATATAATGACATCATTTGACTATCACAATTACATAGTAAAATAATTATTATTTTCCTGAATATAATTTAAACCTGAATCAGGATATTCCACCACCACAAATATGCCAGAAATGTTTTTGTAATTTAAATTTATCCTGGATTAATCTATTAGACTGTGGAGGAGTTAAGAAACCACACCTAATTATTGTAGGCTCTGTACAGCAGATCCAGTGCCTTCCTTTATAAAAGATCTCTTAAAACTTGATCCTGCTCATTAAAGGGGAGAAAAATGCATCAACCAAACAACCCAAATAAAAACAGGAAAAAAATTATCTTCTTTATTAATAAAATGTTGAAAACATATTTTCAGGAGATACACAACAGTATTCTACAACAATTTTGAATTATTAGTTCTTCTCAGAAACTATCTTCAAAAAAGCCCAGATGCCCAAACCAAAAGCCCAGGCATCCCAGCTCAACAGGCTCCAGTGCACAGTTAAAAGCTGCCTGTACAACATGATAACACAAACGTGTACCTTGTCCCTGGCAAGCAGCAAGGACTTTCTGTCGTTCCCTAGCAAAGACTCACCCACATCCTCATTTAATTTATTGCACTACCAAGACACAAGGAAAACCCTCCTGCCAGAGCACTCCCTTGCCCCCATGGGTAGCGCGGGGGCTCTGCCAGCGCAGGCGGCTCCACCGGAGCCGGTGCGGAGGTCGGAGCTGGCCCCGGCCACAGCTGCGGCGATCTCCCGGCACTGTCACCTCGCCATTGCCACCCCTGCCGCCCGTGTGACCCAGCCCGGTGCAGGAGGGCTCCCTGCAGCCGCGACGGCCCCTCCGTTGCCCCCGGGAGACGAGGCGGCGCC